ATTTTTTTTTTTCTAATACTATTTTCTTATTACAGATAAATATGTTAGAGATTTAGCTTTAAAGAACCCTAAACCGACGTCTTCAAATACGCCAAGGAGTCCATTATTCAAATTACCTCAAAATAGTCCAAGTCCATCAACAAATAGCTCAACAATATCGGGAGAAAGGAAGGCTGGTGCACTTCAAGGACCACGATCTCCCCCTGTTTCTCAACGAAATAGTTTAACCGCTACTATTTCACCTAGAACATCCGTTGTTAATAATAATTACGAAAATTCTTCAACAAATTCAAATGAAACTACAATTACGTCTATTCCTGAATCGACGAAGCCAGACTCAGTTTTTAATAATTCTTCAACTATAACTTCAGATTTCTCTATTTCAAATGATGATAAAGAAAAAAAAAAGTCTACTTATAAAAATATTGATGAGATAGTAAATGATCTTTCTTATCCTATGGAGACCAAATTATCATTTAAACCTACTACACCACCTTCTCAATCATCATTTAAATCTACTACACCACCTCCTCAATCATCATTTAAATCTACTACACCACCTCCTCAATCATCATTTAAATCTACTACACCACCTCCTCAATCATCATTTAAACCTATTACACCACCTCCTCAATCATCATTTAAACCTACTACAACACCTCCTCAATCAAAATGCAACAATAGTACGCCACCTACAAAGGGACCAGATGATCCAACAAAGGGTAGTTATGTTTTATCTGCTGCATTTAAATCATATGGAGCAGCATCTAGGACGCCAAGCGTAAAGAAATCGGCTACGCCAACTTCACCAAAACAAGAACAGCGCGAAATAGCATCAAATAAAAAACAACGTGATTCCACAATACAAGAATTACATAATCGTTCGGGTACTAATTGGGGTGCTCGTTATGATGAAGCTCAACAAAAATATCCTCCTCTTGATAAATTAGATAATAAACTTACTACACCACCATCTTCTACTTCAAAAAAGCAAGGTGACAATAAGAATAATGAATCTGTAGAAGGAAGTCATCAACAAAACTTAAAACCTTTAACATATAACAATAAACCAAATTCACTTGATTGCGCTGCTTGTGGTAATTTAATATCGGGTAACATGTTAACTGCTATGGGTAAAAAATGGCATCCTGGTCATTTTGCTTGTAAACAATGTGGTATCTCTTTGGAACATGTCGCTTTCTTTGAAAGGGATGGTAATCCTTATTGTCATTTGGATTATCATGAGCTATTTAGCCCTAAATGCGGACATTGTGACACGCCTATTGAAGGAGTAAGCTTTCATCTTTTAAGATAAGAAGGAAATATTCATAGTTAAAATTTATAGATTACTAATTAAAGTTTTCTATTTAACAGAAATCTATTTCTGCTCTTGGAAAATCGTGGCATCCAGGACATTTCTTTTGTAGAGAATGTGGTAATCCTTTTGAAGGTGGTTTCATGGTTCATGAAGGTTTTCCATATTGTGAAAAGGATTGGACAAAATTATTTGGTTAGTACATTAAAATAATTTTATACATATAAAAAATGATAATAATAGTTTTTTTTTTTTTTTTAATTAAATTATTTAGCTCCAAAGTGCTTAGGATGTAAAGAACCTATTAGAGGAGAATTTATTAATGCTTTAGAAGGAATGTGGCATAGAAATTGTTTTGCTTGCATGGTTGGTTAATTATATTGTTAAATTAATTTTTTCTTTTTTTAAAAAACGTTATTTTAACTAATTGTTAAATTATTAATATTATTATAATAGACTTGCAAAGAACCTTTTCATGATTCATATTTTTTTACTCATGAAGGAAAACCATATTGTGAGAAACATTATAGAATTATAATGTCTAACGTATAAATAAAATGTTTTATTATTTGGATTTACAATCATTGAACATTTAATCAATTAAAAATAAAGAACAATTCGTATTGTTTATAATTGTAATAAGTATATTAGCAGATTATTTTTGAAAAGAAACAATTTTTGGATGTTGACATCAAAATAAAATTATTTATTACTTTGTTTTGATAACTAAATAAATTATTGAAGTTCTTCAATTAAATTAGTATAATCACTAAGGTTTTGTTCATTATTTTTCATAAATAATTCAATATTTTTTTGATCTTTCTTATAATCCTTCACTTCTTTTAACTGTTCTTGTTTTTCTAATTCTACACCATCTCTTAAAGCCTCTAGAAACGTTGAACCTAATTGTTGAGATAAATAATTAACATACACTATATAAAAATAAATTTTCTTTTCCGTAAAAAATGCTTTTTGATTAATTTTTCCGTTTTTTGACTTTGATTTTCCAACAAGTTGAAACAATCTATATAAGTCTGATAAAGCTGCCAAGATATTACTAGTTGAAGAAAGCAAATTAATGATATCATCTAAAATGAGAAATGAAAATTCGTGTGGTTGATTATAAATAGGATTCTAAACGAAATAAATTAATAATGAGAATTTTTGTTTTTTTTTTTTTTTTAATAAAAATTTAAAAAAAAATTTTATAAGAAATGTCAAACCTGAACAATTAATGAGGAACTTGCAGCAATAGCTTGAGATATACTTTCATATGCCAAATTCTCTTTGGTAGCTAAAATAGGAGATAAATCCCATAACACTTTACAAGATTCCTCTGGAATTTCAAAGATATCTCCATTAAAAGTACGACAAGCATATGCATAAGCATATCTATTTATAATAAAATTTTGTTAAGGAATTTGAACTATGATAACAAAATTTTCTCAAATACCGTAATCACATCATATAAAAAAGATACAATATATTTAACAAATTTAAAGATATAGCAGGATTCGGAGATGTTTTAGTTAAATCCTCTAAACTTTTAATTTCTGTTAAGATTGGAGGTCTATTGGCAAAATAACCGCTACTATCATCGCTATCATAATCAAATTCATCTTCGTCTTCATCCAACTCAATTATTTTGGATGATGTGCTTTTTTTTCTACGATTGTTATATTCTGATGATGCTTCCCACCATGGTTTCCATAATTGTAGTTCATCTGCAAGTTCCAAAAGATTTTCTGATCTTCCTTTAATGTATTTTTGTTCAAAATCTCGTCGTTCTGCTGGTGTCAATTTATTCAAAATTGTTTCAACATCAGCAGAATCTGGTTTTAAGGAAAGAAAAAGGACGATTTATCATATAACATTGATAAAATCATAATTCAAATCAATAACCAAATTATTTTTACCAAGATCTATATTTTTAAATCGTTCTGCAAAATCGTCAACTGCGTCTTTAAGAGAATTAAAATTCAGTTTTTCTAATATATAAAAAGATGAAAAAATTTTAAGCTAATAAACCTTCGTCATCTTGCTCCATGGCTTCTCTTGCCATCTCATCATTTTCTTGTTCAAATTTTCTCAACATATCAAACATTTTTTGTTTTTGATCATCATCTATACGATTAGAATTTATTTCTTCGATTACACTATCTTTGTAAAAAGATTCTGTACAAGTTGAATGAATCTAAATATCAGGAAAAAAAAAAAAGTTAGAAACGTAATGACATAAAGAAAGGAAACTTTTAATAAGTACCTCATTTTTATAACAACTCAAAGAACAATATTTTATATTGCACCTAGGACATGTATATTTCGGTATTTGTTTTTTACATCTGAAAATAAAATTGAATAATTATATGATTTTATTATAAAATTAAGATTTTTATGTATAAATGTGAAAGTAAATTTACATGCCACAAATTTGAGCATAACTTTCTTCTACATCTGAATCATCAGAATCGTGAATTAAATTGAAAATTTTCGACATTTTTCATATGAGAAAATATAGATAAAAAAAAAATTCATTTTAGTTAATTTTGTTAATTTTGTGATCCACAGATCCAGTGCTAATTTAGTAATCTTTTCTGGAAAATTACTTTAAAAAACGATACTATGATTAAAATTAACGCGACTATAAAAGCGCGTGAAAACTTCCTGATACGTTATGTTTTGGTATTACAGTATAATAATAATAAATACTATTTAAAAAAAAAAGTTTGATCTCTAACTCTTTAGTATAATAAATTTATGAACATGTCCTACAAATATTCAGGTATATCACTTGTGGTTTTCAAAGTTAAAATTATTTTTATTTATTTTTTTAATTTTGATTAGCTACGGATCAAATTGCTTCGAATGAAGCCTCATATGGTGATGTAAGGTCCCGAAAAGTAAAAACTGATTATAAAGACTCTGATTCGATATATAATTCAGGAAAATCTAAAAATAAGGACAGAAGATATTCTCAGTCATTCATAAGTGTAGGCAAAAAGGATTTGCGCAATCTCGCGATACTTATATTAGTTGCATTCATTGTGAGATTATATCGAATCGACCAACCTACTTCAGTGGTGTAAGTATTATTTTTCAATTATTCTTTATTTAGAAGCTAAAGATTTCATACGTGTTTTAATATTCTAAACAGATTCGATGAAGTACATTTTGGTGGGTTTGCAACGTATGTACAAGTTTTGTTAAATTTCCAATGTTTTATTGATATCTTTGATAGATATTTAATTCTCTTCTTTTTAAATAGAAAATACATAAGGGGAAGGTTTTTTATGGATGTACATCCACCATTAGCAAAGTTACTTATCACGCTTGCTGGTTTATTGGGAGGTTTCGATGGAAGCTTTGATTTTAAAGAAATTGGCAAGTGAGTTCCAAATTATTTTAAAATAAAATATTTCCTTAAAAAGAAATATCTCTTTTATTATTATGATTATTATTGAATTTCGATTTTTTTTTTAAAAAAAAAAATTAGGGATTATTTGGAACCTAAAGTACCATATGTAGCAATGCGTCTAATGCCCGCTTCTCTGGGGATTTTCCTAATACCAATTTCTTATTTAACCATTAAGTTATCAGGATTTAGTAGTGCTGCATCATTCTTAGTAGCTACCTTAATAATATTTGGTAAAATATATAATATATTTTTTTTATTTTTATTTATTTATTTATTTTTTTTTTTTTTACTTTTTATTTTCAATCTTTAATTCGAATTTATTTTGAATCATTAAGAAAATGGATTGGTAACTCAAAGTAGGCATATTTTATTGGACGCACCTCTTGTTGCTTTCACTGGTTTTACAATATTAATGTGGGTGAAATTTCATAACGAACAAAGGAGGTATGGCTTAATTTTTATTTATTTTTTTCTAATTACTTATTTAACTTAACATTTACTGACCCACATTATTTTATTGAATGTCACAAGACCTTTTCAATTTCGTTGGTGGGTTTGGATGGCAATGACTGGTGTAGGACTCGGACTTACAGTGAGGTTTGTTTGTAATTTAATATATATGGATAAAATATTTGTCATTTATATTTCTGGTTTATATTTTTTTTTATAGTTGTAAATGGGTTGGACTTTTTACAATTGCTCATATTGGTGTCTCAACAATAAAGGATTTATGGGATTTACTTGGTGATTCAAGAATAACGTTGGTAAATATAACTTGAATATTCGGCAATTATTTGATTTTATTTTTTAGGCAGATGTTTATAAGGTTATTATAATTTTTTTGTTCCAAGAATCAATGGGCAAAACATTTTTTCGCCCGAGCAATATGCTTAATTGTGATTCCAGTATCATTGTATTGTTTATTTTTTGCTATACATTTTGCAATCTTACAACGTAGCGGTGATGGAGATGGATTTATGAGTTCTGAATTTCAACATACTTTGCAAGGACATGGCATGCAAGATATGCCAATAGGTGTGAAATATTTATAATTATATATATCCTATTTAAAAAGATTTGTTTTAATTATTTCATTATTATAGATGTTGCATTTGGTTCGCAGATATCTATTAAACATGTTAATACACATGGAGGATATTTACACTCTCATAAGCACAATTATCCTGGAGGTAGCACACGTAAGTACTGTATCTAATCCACGTTCTATTAAGTAATTTTTAGTTACTTCAAAATAATTTTTTTTTTGATTTAGAACAACAGGTTACCTTATATCCACATAAAGACGACAATAATTTCTGGGTTTTACAAAATCAAACCGATCCCGAAGTATCATTCAACGAAACTGTTCCTAATTGGGTTCGTAACGGTGATATAATTCGGCTTGAACATATCATTACTTTCAAGAGGTTACATAGTCACGATGTAAGGCCTCCAGTTACTGATGTAGAATTTCAGAATGAAGTCAGGTGTTTTTTTTTTGCAAAATAAATATAAATTATTTATATATATTATCCAGTTCCATTTAACGTTAATTATTATTTCTTTCATAGTGCTTATGGTTATCAAGGATTTGAGGGAGATGCAAATGACTTTTGGCGTGTAGAGATTGCAGAACATGATAAATCAGATCCGGAATCTAAAGAGCGCCTTCGTACACTTCACACAAAATTCCGACTTCAACACACTATTACAGGTTGTTATTTATTTTCCCATTCCGTAAAATTGCCTGATTGGGCTTATGGTCAGCAAGAGGTTACGTGTGTAAAGGGCGGAAGTTATCCGAATACACTTTGGTATATTGAGGCAAATTCGCATCCAAAACGTAAGTACAAATTGTTGAAATATTTTAACATTCACTAAGCCAGATTAAATGATATTTAACGACTTTGTAGTTCCGGAAGACTCTGAGAAAGTGAATTATAGGAGACCAGGATTCTTTAGAAAGTTAATTGAAATTAATAAAGTGATGTGGAATACAAATTCTGGACTAACGGAATCTCACCCTTATGACTCTCATCCGTCTT